TCTGCTTGTGATCGTTGCTGTTCTAACTTTAATTGTGACATCAGTTGCATTATTAACACCCCCAGATGAGGGTCCCAGAGTACGAGGTGCTAGAATAAGACTTTCTGAGGTAAACAATGCAATTTATTTTTATTATAATATTTATTACATTATTATATTTACTATGTTCTATTAAATTCTCCATTTAATTACTCAGGCAACAAATAATTGAAATTCATTTATTCATTGTCTATAATTTTTAATTTAATTCTTTAAGTGAAAAAAAAATTAAATCAAGTAAAATTCATTTAATCAAACACTAATTGATGAATTTTATTTCAATATATGAAATTCAGATAAATAAATTTTTGCTGTATGATATTAATTATTTGACTTATGTTTTTTTTAGTGTATCTATATAATTCTACGATAAATATATTTTATATTCATAAGTTCTTCATTATTATTATTTTATGTGTGTAGAAAAATAAATATTAATATAAAAATAAATATAAAAATAAATATAAATTATATTAAATATCAAATATTTTATTTATTTAATATTTTTACCATAATTAATACAAATTAAAATTCAAAGATGACTAGTTCATAATTTCTTAACAAATATTTATAAATATTTGCAAATATCAAATTTTATATAATATTTATTTATTTATATATATTATATATTTTAATTTACATTAATTTTATAAACATTACATAATTTAAAAAAAATCATTATATCAAAAGATTGAAGATTACCAGAATAATAAAAAAGAAAAAAAAACGAGAACAATTGAAATTACCATATTCAAGAATCTAATATTAAATGAAATGCAAATTTTATTTATATTTATGTCTACTCAGCTAATCCAAGGCCATATAAGAAGCTTTTCAATTCTTTTTATACAGAATATCTTATATTCTGTTGAAATATGTATTGCTCGCTTTTATGAGTGCTTCTTTCATCTGTTGTTCACTCTTCATTTGCCGCAATCAATTTGATTCTAGACTTTTCTGACTAAGAAAAATCTTAAGATCTCTTGACCTATAATTATACTCATTTCCTCTAATGATAATTAGATAGATAACTATTTTATTTCATATTTTTGCTCATATTTTTTTGTTATCATAAAAATATTTTCTTTATCAAAATTCATAATATTTATTATTTATAATTTATAAATAAATAATATTAAATATATTTTTTCACATATATATTGAAATTTCATTTAATTATGTTTATAATTATTATATTATGTTTATAATTATGTTTATAATTATTTATAATTTTATATATATAAGTTATATATNAATTGCTTGAAATTAGAATTTCAGAGATCTTTATTAATGCTATTAATGCTATTAATGCTATTATTTATTAATGCTTATTATATAATATTTTCTTTACTTTTAATTTTCAGATATTATCATTTATGACTTGATAATTTTTTTTATTTCTTAATATTTCTTAATTTCTATCGTTGTTATTAAATTTATCAATTTTTCTCAAATAATTAATACTTTTATAATAATTATTATTATAGCAATAACAAAATATAAACTAAATAAATATTTAAAAAATACTTTAATAAAATAAATATCTATTTTATAGGTACTTTCTGGAGAATTAACACCTCTTTTCTTCAATGGATCATGGGTAAGCAGACAGCATATTTGCTATCGAGATGTGTGGGGTGGAATTTCGCTATTGCACGTTTCTTCCAAAAACATCACTTCCTACAGTTTAATGTCTAATGAAACTTTTGTAAGTTCAAATTCATTGTTTAAATATTTTTAATATAATGTAGATAATATAATATAAACAAAAATATATACTTTTTAAATATAGGTATGTATGTATAAATTTTTTATGTAAAGGCATAGAAAATTATATTTATTAGAGAATATTTATATATTTACACTTAGGCTTTTTAGCAAAACAGAACATTAAGAAGTATTTTGCATACAGAGAACACTGAATCCTGCCAAGTTCTCATTGTCACCGGATCGTAATTATTTGCTCCTTGCGCATAATGTGAAGAAACTCTTCCGATACTCGTATTTAGCACAATATACAATTTATGACGTAAAAACACGGTTAGTGAAATACAATTTAAACAATTATTTTAATTTAATACAATAATTTTGTATTTTTATTAATAAAATTAATTAATTATTATTAGATTTATCATTAGATTTATCATTAGAATTATTTTATTATTATAGAGAAACTATAGCATTGACTCCACATCCTGAGAAAGAAATTCACCCTTATCTTTTGTTGGCACAATGGACTCCACGAGATCATGGTCTGGTTATGGTTCAAGATTATGATATTTATTATATAACAAGTCCTAAAAGTAATACAGGATATCGTGTTACTGATACAGCAATACCTGGTATTTTATCAAATGGTTTACCGGATTGGCTATATGAAGGTAAAATAATTGAAATAATTTACGTTTTTGACAAATGTATAAGAAATTTTTACATATAAATTTTTATAAATTTATAGAAGAAATTTTGCATCGTGCAGAAGCTATTTGGATGTCATCAGATGGCCATATGATGTTATATGCTTCTTTCAATGATTCTCTTGTTGAGGAAATGCACATATCTTGGTTTGGAGAAGGAAATAAAGCATTGTATCCTGATATACGATCCTTACGATATCCTAAGGTAATAATTATATTTATTATATCTTAAATAATCTTAAAATATTTATAATTCAAATATCAATTAATTTTTCGAAAATTTCCATGTTTAATAATATTTTATATATGTATGATATTTGTATTATATAATTAAAATAAATATTATATAATTAAAATATATAATAAAATTTAAAATAAAAATAAAATTTTATTTTATTTTTTTCTTCTATATAATAATTATTAATGGATTTAAAATTATATAATATTGATTTTCATTTTATAGCCAGGAACACCAAATCCTGTAGTGCGACTGTATGTAGCAGACTTGGCAGATCCAAAAAACATTCATACGAAGGTAGTGAAACCGCCACCTATCATCGAGCATGTGTGAGTTTATTTATAAAGTTTGGAATATGGAGTGCTTGAACAAATTTTCTCTTATTAATTTTTCCTCATTAGGTATAATTATTCGTCTTAACAAAAAAAAAAAAAAAAAAATTAAGAATGAACAAAACTGAAAATATCTTGAATAGAGATTGCACTTTGTTGTTTTTTACAAGAAACATTTAGATGTTTCTGTGGTGACACTCTCAAGGTACTTCAAAAGAGAAAGCATATCATTTTTCGGCAAGATACTTTAAGATATACATGAGGAATAGCTTGGTTTAAAATGAGCTGGTTTTTAAGAATATTGTATAATTTAAAAATAAATTTTTAATAATATGTGTAATATATTAGTTTTTGTATAAATATATTTAATTCTTGTATTTATTAAATAATTTTTTTAATATTTATAATATAATTTGTAATTTTTATATAAATAGTTTAATATTCATAAGTAAATTTCATGATCTTTTTTTTTTAAAATACGAATTTATTTTTAATTTATAATATAGATGATAAATAAATGTTATTATTTTGAAAAATATTGATTTGATATTAATATCAATTTTTTTTAGACAAATTTGAAAATATTTTTAAAATTAAATTCACGCAGTTTAATTTTAGATAAAGTTTGAAGTGAGATTAAAATTTTTTTTTTAACAAATCATGATTTCATTAAATACGTAAAAATTCTTAAAATTAAAATTAATTCTTAAAATTGTAAAATTATTTATTATTTTTCATATTTCTTATTTACGAACTTTTTATACATTTATCATAAAATATTTACAAATATTAAATATTTTATGCATCTAATATATTTAATATTTGAAAAGTTTTTAAAAAATTAATTTTAGAAATCATCTCATTTTAATTCCGATAATGATGTAGAAAATATTTTATTTCATATTTTAGTATAAACAATTTTAGCGATTTTAATTTACAAATTATTTTAGTATGCATTATAGATATTTTTTTTTATTTATTTTCTTTTTTTTTGCTATTTTTAAAAATATAACATAGCTTTTATAATTAAAAAAATAATTAATTAAGAGAATTTTAGGCCATTAAAATAATCATTAATAATTTTATATGTTTTCTTCTTATCATTAAAATAATTAAGATTAAATAATTCATTATTTTATTAGATAAAATAATTAAGTTTATGCATAGATATAATCTGCTATTGGTAGTAATAGCATTAAATTGCATTCTTATAGATTTAATTGCTACTGAATATCATAAAAATTGCTTCAATTAAAAGTATTAATATAAAATAAATTAATTATTATATATATAATATTAGCTGATACACATAATATTAGCTATAAACATTATTGTTATTTATATTTATTAACAGAGAACATTACTTTACAACGGCTTCGTGGGTATCTTCAACAGAAGTTTGTATAACATGGTTGACACGTGCACAAAATCTTTCTGTTGTGACTAATTGCAAGAGTCCATTATGGCATTGTCAGGTATATTTCAATTGTTTCAATTATTTAAATTATTTTTTTATTTATATGAAATAATTTTGACCATTTCACGTAGGAAATTCAAAGAATAGTAGCTGAAGATCGTGGTTGGGTAGATACTCCTCCAGAATCACCTATTTTTTCAGCAAATGGCAGTAGTTACATTGCTATAACTCCAGTTAAAGATGGTCCAGCTGGGTATTACAAACATATTGTTTGGGTGAATGTTGCTCGAAGATTAGTTGTTCCACTCACTCATGGAAAATTTGAAGTTGCACAAATAGTAGCATGGGATGAACCTAATAATACTATGTGAGTAATAAATTTTTTATTATCTATTAAACATTAATTTCTTAATAAAATTAAATGTGTCATTTAATATTTTTCTTTGAATCTAATCTAGTTCTTTTACATAGATATTTTATAGGTATTCCACCTATGCAACCAGGACAAAGACATCTTTATTATGTGAGTTCATTGTTACCACATGTGGGTTCATCTCTACATCCTGCTTTTTGTGTTACTTGCACGGAAATGTCAGATGGATATCGAAAGGAACATAGAACAGCTTCATCTAGTCATTACAGTTCCTTGTCTGACAATAATTACATACGTGATCATTATGAAACACAAACAGAAAATGTAAAAGTTGAGGGACAACCAAAAGAAAATGTTACAAAGAAACAGAAATCAAAAGCATACACTGCACCAAGTAAATGCTTTTCACAGAAAAAAATTAGTTATTGTTTAATATAATTGCAATGATATTTACATATGTATTTCTTTCATTTTCAGAATTTACTGATCAACCTTGTCAATATCACAATGCGATTTTTTCACCGATTGGTACTGATTATTTCGTTTTGGAATGTTATGGACCTGGTATACCCACTGTTACTTTATATAAAACTGATTTTCCAATGCCACATCTTATCTATGTCTTACAGAATAATACATTATTACGTGTAAGTTATAATAACTTTTATGTTTGACTTAAAATAAAATTTTGTATGCTTTGAAATATATATTTTTATAGCATAAAATAATAAAAATTATAGTATAAAAAATAGTATATATAAAATTAAAGATTTATTTTAGGAACGAATTGCCAAACTTGCACTTCCTCAAGTCAAAACATTTCCTGTTCAAATAAGTGGTGGATATAATGCACAAGTAAAATTGTATTTACCGCCAGGATTAAGAGAAGATGAAATCACACGATATCCCTTAATCGTACAAGTGTAAGTACGTTTTTAAATATAATATTCAATTATTATAAAATATTTATTATAGATACAATATTAATATTATTTTTGGAAAAAATACAACTTTTGAAATATTTATATTCTTAGATATGGTGCGCCAGGTTCACAATTAGTAACAGAAATGTTCAAGATTGATTGGAATACTTATTTAGCTAGTAGAAAAAATATGATTGTTGCACAAATTGATGGCAGAGGTAGTGGAGGTCAAGGCTATAAATTTCTTCATGAAGTTTATTACAGACTTGGCTCTGTGGAAGTTGCCGATCAACTTGAAGTAACTGAGTGAGTATAATAAATTCTACTGTAGTCTACATTTTTAATATTTATTGTCTAAAAATTAAAAATTTCTAGATATTTACGAGATTCGTTACATTTCGTGGATAAGCAACGAGTCGCTGTTTGGGGTTGGAGTTATGGGGGTTTCGTAGCTGCTCTTGCGCTGGCGCATCCTGAGCAAAATGTTTTTGAATGTGGTATAAGTGTAGCTCCTGTTGTTTCATGGAAACTTCATGGTACAATGTCCAATTCCATTTTATTTTGAATTTTTATAATTTCATTAAAATGAAATTATTTTAATTGATTTAATTTTGAAACAGATTCTGCATATGCTGAAAGATACATGGGTTTACCAGATGTTGTATCAAATTATAAAGGATACGCTGAATCAGATGTATACGATAAAGTGGAACATTTACGAAATAAAATGTTTTATTTAGTGCATGGCACTGCAGATGATAACGTCCAATTTCAACAATCCATGGCACTTGCGCGTCATCTTGCGAAAAAAGGCATTCTTTTTCGACAACAGGTATTAACAATTAATTTATAATTGTAATAATTTGTTAAATAATTTTAACGTATCATACATATTATACATATTATCACGAAGATATATTCAACAAAAATGTATTACAATAGATGTACATCTATTACTAAGATGAATATATAAATTATCATTCACTTTTAGGTATATCCAGATGTGAGTCATTCATTAGCAGGAGTTAAAGGTCATCTTTATTTATCAATGGCTCAATTTTTGGATGATTGTTTCCAGAAACAAGTACCTACTGATACAAAAGCTGGTCTTATCAGTGGTGGATCTGTAGTCTGTAGTTGTAAATAATGAAAATGATCCACTTGTGAAGAAATTCCATACACAAAAGTTATACCTGAATCTCCAAATTGTGTTCCGTTTATTGATATCTTAGGAGAAATATATTTTCGCATTATTTTGTATATTGACTAAATATTATAAGAAAATGGTATGTTTCAAATTGGAAATCAAATCTAAATGAATGAAAGTGATAAATTCTAGCATTGTTAAAAAGAATATTAATATATTAAATATATAATTTTTTATTTTAGAAATGTTATGATTTTTTTTATAAAATAAGGATATTTGATATTTTTTTATAGATATAATTAAAATTAAAAATTATAATTATTATGATTTATGTTTTAAAAAATTATATTTTTCTTTATACATTGAGTTCATAAAGTTTTCATTTTAATTATTTATATCTCTTTCTTCTGCAATACAAATAATTAATAATATATATAAAATTCGTATAAAATTGTAATACAAAAGATAGAAATGAAATATGAACCAAAGATAAGCGAAAAGAAAAAGAACTAATTTTATTCATTTAGATATTGATTTTTCTTCTGTTATAATGAAATCTAAGAAGATAAAATTTATTTTAACGTTACATAATTTATTGAAGATGTACAGAATCATTTATCATAATTGCAAAACAAATATAACCAGGACAAGTAAGAAAAATAATTATTTCTTTTCATCAAATCGATATGAAACGAAATCAAACGATGAAAATTCATGAACCCGTAAACATTCGATGTAAGGATGTAACTTTTTCCTACTTTCATTTAGATCTTTTTAATTAATAATATATGCGTACAAAAAACACAAAACGACGCATTTAAGATTATTCCTCAATGTATATTTCTCAAATCTCTTATATTATAAGAAAAAACATTTCACTCAAAATTCATGTGATTTCTCTTACATACCTACATAGATCTATCTTATAACGATTCATTCGCTACAATAATTAACGTAACACTTTGTAAACAGTATTAATTAACTTCGAGGAGCAATAAAGAAATTTTATAAAAATAACATTCAATTAATTGAACTAAATAAGATATAAAGTTAACGGACATGAATCATATGGCATACGTACATACTATTTTACCTGAATGTAATGAGCAATTGAAGAGTTAATAACAAGATTAAAGTGTAATTGTCAAATTGTACTGTGTGTCAAACTCTACATGAGTTTTTTCAAATAGCAATATAAATAGGGAGATTTAATTTTAATTTCTATTTTTTGTAAATTTTTCCGAAATTTAGATTTCTCCATAGATTTTCTAAATTATTGAGGAGGCATTATCGGTTGGTCAGTAGTCTGAAATGGATTTGACAATCTTCTTGTTCGAACATCTGCCAAGGTGTAGTAACATATGGTTTTTAAGATTGGTTGGTTTACTGAAACCACGGCTACAAATATGGCACCTAAATGGCCATAGTCCATTATGCACGTACATATGACTCTTAAGATCTCCCGGTGTTGGGAAAGATTTAGAGCATTGTGAACATTTGTGTGGTTTTTCCTGAAACATAAGAGTGAAAGCATTCTTTACTGCGAGTTTTAAATTGAAACAAATCATTATTTTTTAAAATTTTTTATAAAACGATGTAATTTCAAAATTATAATAAACTTTTATTTCGTTTAACTATGATTTTTAACATATTAAAAGTAATTGTTATTATGGCTATTATATAGTATAATTATAAATATTTTATTTTTAAAAAGTTATTAAAGAATTATATTTAATAATTACTGCCTAAGTAAATGCTAATATTAAATATCTGTTGTTATTAGTAGTAAACAATTCGATGTCCAAATTTTAATAATAGTGAATAAAATGAAATTGCATTGTTTTTCAGATGTAAATTTAAAAATTTTATCTTTTGAAATCTTTCTTGATTTTATGCATAACAGTAAAATAATCTGTTTAAAAAAATATATTTCTATTATATAAAAATATGCTTTCAAAATAAAATGCATTGCAATCCATTATATATTTATTAAGCATAAATTTATAAATAATAAAAAAAAAGTACCATTCAATTTTTCACATTAATGTACTATTTACTCATCACTTGCAAGTATTCGTTAATAATATTTATATTTAAATCTTAAAAAAAAAAAGTACATCTACATGTCGATATTACAAAATCTCAAAGAAAAAATTCACAAATAAACTAATATATTTATTTTTAATGATATTAGCACAAAAATTAGAAACTTTCTTCTATAGTACAAATTACTAATTAAATAAAAAATAAAATTCTAAAGTTATTTTTATTTCATCAACTTACAGAAAATATGTAAAAATTTACGAAATGTTATACAGATATAAAAATAATGAAATAACAATTGTAATAGATAGAAATATAATAAACGGCAATGATTACAGAGAAATTTATATAAAAAAGTAATTGCTGTTCATTATTGTAAAAATTGAAATTAAAAACTGTTAACTTTGAAAGAATAAAGGAACTCACGATATCAGATTATCCTATTTCTACCTATGTCCCCCAATTCTATATGATAAAAGAAAAAATTTGAACACGAAAATTATCGTCGATATATTCGTTATCCCGGCTCGATCGGCTCGTCGAACGGGAATAAAAGAACGCGTCATGGTCTCGCGAAAACACGATGAAAAGGTGGCGAGCAAGGGTAAATGTGATGAGCGTAAAAGTTGTAGCGGGCACACGAGAATGAATAGAATGGAAGAGGGACGCGAATGGAAGACAGTAGGAAGACGAAGAAGAAAGATGTCAGGGAAGATAGTGTAAGTAACTGTGGGCAAAAGGTAGACGGGAGATAGAGTTGGAAAGCGATGTTAACATAAGATCGAAGAGAGAACCAGAAGAGTCTGCTGCCTCTGGGTATATTCTCCGTCTCCCTAATTGGATTGCATTCCAAGCAGTAGCGAGTAATGGACCAATTACAGTAGCTGATGGCAAGAGCAACCTATATGGCTCCCGAGATATCATTACTTCGCTGGATTAGAGAAACTCATATGGGGGTTTCCGCTCTGATAAATAAAAACTTCGACCGATCTTTTACCACTCGCGCCTCGCGTTACCGCTCCGCGTACCGGTTTCCTGCATTTTCCCGATCGCTACCAGATCTTACACCCGACTGGGATAACCGAGGATAAAATAAAGATAAACTTCTTCGAGAGATTCGATATGCGTCGATTCTCGATTTGCCTTTTTTTCTTCTTCTTCTTCTTCTTTTTCTTTTCTATATTCTATAAATTTTAAGTTAACTGCGTTCTCAGATGTTGATATTTCTGTGATCAGATGATAGAGTTTAATAAGAATTCATCGACAGTTTAATATGAAAGTTTCTTCAGCAATTAAAATATTAATTGTAAATAGAAATAATTAATTTTAAAAGAAGAAAATCATCTATTAAAATAGATGATAAATATACGTATTTCGAATTTTACTCTATTTAGAAAAGAAATTTATTATAGAGAAGATAATGAAATGGTTCAAACGGTCATATATCAGTTTATGTAAGAGAAATAGTCATAAATTTAGGAAATTAATTTGCCCGATCGAATCAATGTATCTAAGTAAGTTTAAAATAATTTCAAGATCACATTAGATCAATAAATTCATTTTGATTTCAGTTACAATCAATATTAATTTGTCGTATTTTAGCGAATTCTTCAGGTATTTGAAACTTACCTTGATATGAGTCATACGATGATAATAGAGATTGGAGGAGGCTGTAAACTTCTTACCACAAACAAGACACTGATGAGGTTTTTCACCGCTATGGATTCGTTTGTGCGTATTCAGCGAACTCGATGTTGAGAAACCCTTGTTGCACACCATACAAACATGCGGTTTCTCTCCTTCAATTTAACAATTTGATTAAATTACTTGAACTAATGGTCAACAATTTAAATTGTACGAAATATCTTAAAATTTCTTAAAAGTTCGTCTGTTTAAATTCATCAATTAAATCTCTTTCTAATCTGATAGATATAGAAAAAATATTTTGATAGATTAGATATTATTACATTTATAAATATAATACATTACAAAAATTAAGAAACAAAATAAGATCCAGTTACTGCAAAATCAATTAATTTTTTAAAATAAGATATAAATTTTCATTTACTTTTATAATAAATAATTTGATTAAGTTATTGAATTATTTAGAATATGTTAGATAAGGACAAGCTTATGTTTAAAAATACTTAATAACAATTAAAGATTAAAATTTCAAGTATTAGGATTTATCAAAATTTTCATTATCTTTTCTTTTTTTTTTTTTTTAAGAAAATTGTAAGGCAAAAAGCGAATTCTAATAGCAAGTGTTGAAAATGATTATATTTCACTCACCTGTATGCGTTCTCATATGACGTTTCAGGAGAGAAGGTCGGTCGAAAGACTTCCCACAAACTTCACATGGCAAAAGAACCCTCTCTCCTCTTTTAATTGTCGTTAAAATACTGCAATCTAAATGATCTCCTGTCAAGGACAACGTCGATGACGAGGACTCCTCGGATGTTGATTCGTATTCATCCACCTCGTAATAAGGATGCGAGATAGTTGACGACGAATGATGAGAGAGCAATGCCATGGATAAGTCTAATGGGGATTCTTAAACACAAAATCTGGTTATTAAATATTATTTTTAAAATTTTATTATACCAGCCATGCAGAACTGATCAACTCCATCATTTGATTTCTGAAAAATATATTAAAATGAAGAATTTTTCAGAAAATCGAGTCGATCAGTTTTATTTCTAATTATAAGAGATGAAGAATTTAAAAAAACAATCTGTATTTTTTTCAACATTTAAAATCTATTTTAAAAAATTTTCCATATAAATATATTAAGTTTTTATATTAATTTCTATAAAAAATGATTTGTATTATTTTTTATATTGACTAAATAAGTTTTATATATGTATAAATATAAAAAAAAAATTATATTTTTGTTATTAATAATTAATTTTTTCAAAAATATAGATCTTTATCTTATCCTTAATATTACAAAAGGATACATAATCTTTTATTTTATTTTATGTATAATAAATTTATTCTTTTTCCAGTTATATTTTAATTTATTATTTTTTTTTCGAAATATCATATATAATATTTTAAACATTTCTTATATTTGATCTATGTCTCCCTATATAATATGGATCCTAGAAATTCTACTAAACGTATTAACATTCGCATATACAAATGACAACGCTAAACCTTCCTTTATCCGCCATTGTATACCACCAACACGATATCTTATCCGATATAATATTATCCATTTTCTCGGTTTCTTTCAAGGCCAGATCTCCTAGCAAATATCGCGGCTGTAACCATCCCCCACACGGTCCCCCATTTTATCCTCTGCGATTCTCTTCTTCGGTCGGCAAGCCCTCCTCTTCGGAATTGAAGGTTCGCCGGCATTGTACTGTCTTTTATATCCCCCGGTAAGCGCGGGGGTCTGCGCATTTGAATCATGAGCGAACGAACGAGCACCTTGTGATCCAGCCGACAAAAATACCGGCTTATATTTGCATTTCAGATTTGTTAGCCAACTTTCTTTCCTTTCTTTTTCGATTGGCTCGCGATTGCGCCGATTAACGCGATTGCACCCGGCCAAGATTTCAATCGGCACGGTCCCGCAGCAGCTTTGCCATCCGCTACGGCTTTCGGTCTTTTTTTTATTTTTTTATTTTTCTCAAACACGCGAAACGTGGCTCGATGCTCTTTCGAGTAAGTTTCTTTTTTTTATTTTTTTTAATGATAAATTGAAGCAATTTTACGTGTTATGCAAATTAATGTTTCTTAATAGGGTGACTGCTGATCGAATTTTCTAACTTATATCATTGGGTCGAGAAATTCAAGATAGAAGGTCAATTAGTGTAATTTGCTTCAAGATGAAAGTCTTTAATCGAAGTAATAATCTAAGTAGCACGAAGATGTTTTATGTGGTTGTCTTTTAATTCTCTGTAGTAGTTGGATACAACTTATGCATATTAATTTTCTTCGATTGGATTTTCAAAAAATGCAGAATTATTTAGACTTAACACTTTTTTTGAATTAAACTTTTTACTTAAAATAATCGATATGAAGTAAATAATTAATAAATACTGATTATTTTTGAGATATCTTGAAGCCAAAAACTTTAAATTACGCACAACATTGTATATATTAAGACTTTATTCGCTTATAAAATTTTATATCGATTTTCGTAATAATTATTTAAGGTAATTTTGAACAACTCACCATCTAAAATGGAGTCAATCGTGCATCTGTACAGAGCAGACCTCGAACACATGTCGTGTGGTATAAAGACGAAATCTTGTTCTGCTGTAGGAAGAAACCAAGCTACTAATTCTGTATCCGGTTGAACATCTTTTATTACTTCAAAGATCGGATCCCCTGCACCATATGAACAGAAAAAATTTAAGAACTGTTATTAATTTACATTAATGAAAAATAAAGGGAAAAAATTTCTTTAAATTATATTTTTAGTATTAAGTATTCGATAAAATATAATTATTATTTTGCATTAAAATTTATAATAATTATAATTAACGTAATATATTTATTCAAAGGAAATTTTAGATAAAAAATTGTCATTCGTGATAATAATTTAAAATATTAAAAATTAACTAAGTAATATTTCCAGGAGTCATTTTAAAACGAAGCTAATAATTTGTATGAAAAATATTTATCAGGATTGAAACGGATGTACACTATCATTTGCTGTAATATTTTAATTCTCACAACTTATTCCATTTTTTTTAACATGTATTAGCTTACCTTTCACTTTGGTACCAATTAAGTTTACTTGTTCGTCATAAGACTGAACGATACGAAGGAATCTTATCCAATTGCACTGACGCTTGTTAAGGCTGTAATTTGAAAAGAAGACTTCATCGTAGCAGCCATATTCGCGTCTGATCTGAAATAAATCGCAGTTATGAAAAACTTGCTTTAAAACATTGTGAAAATAACCATTAGAACTGTTGTAACTGTAACTGTAACTGTCTGTATAAAATATTCTATATGATTTTTGATTTTTTTTATATTGAATGTAAAGACGAAATTATGAACATTTTTAATAGTATATATATTTTAAATTAGAATTATAATTACATTAATAATTTATAAAAATATTTATAAAAAATATTATCGAATAAATATGTAATATTATAAATTTCCTATTTAAAGATTATAATAATAAAGTGAATTTTAGTATTATATTTTTAACATTAGTTAATTAAATGGATAAAAATAAATTAACTATAAATATGAATATTAGTTTTTGAATAATTCATGTTCATGTATACTATTTATATTATATATAATATTCACGTTCATGCATTTCGCATTTTTATATTTGATATAATCATTTATGGATCATTTTCCTCTTTTTATTCATCTTCTACTTACTTTTTTTTTACTAAAATCATGAAGATGAATTTTATAAGATTAATATTAACTTTTATTGAAATAGAAATATGATTATAGCTATATTCCTTCATTTATTTACATTCTATTATTTTAATTATAATATTTATAATTATTTATGTATAAAATATTTACATACAGAATGCATAATACTTTAATATTAAAGTCAATAAAGAAATTGCATTATTATTAAGATACAACGATTTACTTAATAATAGATATATTAAAATAATTGGACAAATTTTACATAAATGTTAATGAAAATTGTAATATCTAATTAAAGAATACATTATTTCTATTTACTTTATTTATATTTCTAATATTAGATGTCATAAGATTAAATATGTAATTAAACATTAATATAATTTGTGATAAATATAATTAGTAAATTTCCTCACGTGTAACTTGCGCTAAAATGAATATCTGTGTTTTAAAGCATTTAAAAATTAATTAAAACAATTTGATTTAGATTTTTTTATTTGTAACCGATATTTATGCTTTTATTTATAAAGTTATGTATGTTATGTATTTATGGTGAATTATAATAAATATTTTTTTTAAAATTTCATTTGTTATAGAATTTATAATAAAGATATATATTTAAGATATATATTTTATATATTCAAAACTCATAATTGTTAACAATAAAATTATCATATAACAAAATAATTTAAATAAGAAAATAAAATATTAGTACAAATCTCACTGCATAAATTTTCGATTAAGAAGGAAACATAGAATTTTCAAAATATGTTTTAATAATATCACCTTGTTTTAAATTAATTTATAATTATGATATTAAGTCCATTCCATATTAATATATTTCATTTAATATATCCTATATCTTATCCACCCCCGTAACACTTAATTGATATTGCTGATAATGGGTTAATTTTATAATTACATATAATCATAAAAATATCTATTTTATTTATATACTTAATTAAATGCTTTAAAATTTTGAATTATATTTTATATTTTATATGATGAAAATGAAAAATTGATTTTTATATCATATAATAATGTCATTGTTATATAAAATAAAATTAAATATTAAATTCATGAAAAGACATAAGTAAATCTCTTAGAGTTCTCTCTTATTAAAAAAAAAAACGCTAAAAAAATAATGTTTAATAACGTAAATTGATTGAAAAAAAAAATCACGAATAAAACGTTGCTTTAACGCAACGTTGACCCTTAATGGGTTAATTTTATCACATACACCTGTATGTTCTCAGTAATTTTCGTTCATAATTACAATATTAAGATACGAATTTCAATAATGTTGATTGAATGGAAAAAAATTGTAAATTAAACGTCTTAACTTGATCCTTAATCAGTTATTTTATCAAAAAAGTTTATTGATAGTATCAAAAATGTATGAAACTTGTTATGAAACTGTTCAAGCGTTAAAATAAATTGTAAATCGATACAGTATGCTTTCTACAACTAAAACTAAATGAAATTGGAATTTCCACCTACATGTTCTCAATCATGGAGTTACAAATCTCAATTTAATTAAAAATTATTGAAATACCATATATTAATTAAAAATAAAATTACAAAATATTACGAATAATATTGATCGTGTTTTTTTAAAATTAAAAGAATATTCAAGATATCAAATAAGATATTTAAATAAATTTCAAAGAAAAAATTAATGGAAAAATTGCAAAAATTAGACGAAGATCCAAAATAAAACCATTACTTACATCATTGTCATCTAAAAGGGAGTAAAGGTCGATTTTGTCGAATCGGATGGATCCCTGAAAGGGGTAGATCAACGTCCCCGCCGGAATAAGCACGTTGGACCATACGGATATTCTTACGTCCGTAACTAAACTTCCTGAATCATTTTTGAAGAGACCTTTATAGTTTGATCGATCGTTCGCAAGTGCCAATGAAAATTCTTTGGGTATCAGAACGCAGGTTTCCATAACAGAGGCCCCCTAAAAGGGATGCTTTGGGAATATCACAGCTATCGTTGTCTCCACCGTTGTAAACACTTTTCTAAACAGGCCACACGACAAAATCCTCGATTCTTTTCTACTGAACGTTTATTAACTGATAAATGGCCAAACGTCGATGTTTTTTTTTTCAACAATCTTTACCAAAAACTTCGTTTTCAGTTAAAAAAATGGAGAACTGGAGTGACTACCAAAGGACAGTAAAAACAACTTTCTGAATCGAAAGATTTTATAAAAACTTTATAAAAGAAACAAGAATAACGATCTTAAATAAAAATGTTCATTAGACGCCACCACGAAAAAAAAAATACACTTGAATATTTTTTTGGTGCAATTAAAAGACACACTATAAAGAGCGCACTCGAAAAACTGTCCCTGTTCCCGATCGAACGTTGTTTTCGTGTCCGCTCTCAGCTTAGATCTAGATGAGGAACACGATTTATCGATATGTATATTCCCTCCAGGTGAGAATCGAGCAAATTCGAAAATTAGAGCAAATCAAGTTCGGCTTGCGATGATCGCAAAGTGAAAATTTCAGTTGCGAGCGTGAGGGTCGTTCGTCCTCCAAGGTGCAAGGGCCTCGGCTGACTGGATAGGATTAACCGACTGATCTTGACCTTGCGACGGGTTACCAGCATTTGCTACCGAATGGGTAGCCCTTCCCCTTCTTTACCTCTTTTCCCACTCACAGTACATGGCCCGCTGCAGACTTTTTCAGTGGCGTAGATCTCTCTTTCTCATTCTGTTCTCATTAACAATCCCTTCCCTCCACCGATCCATTCTTCTAGGATCGTTTAACGACACTTCCCCCTCCCATTTTTAACAACGATTATATTCCCCCCTCCTTTCCTTTCCTTTCCTCAAACTTCGGCCAAGTTTCGACCGCTCGTGCCTCCCGTAAAGAAACAGGCGTAAAGAAATAAGAACGTGTCGATGAAACAAAGTAGCCAAACAGTATACGCCAATGGATCTCTTTGCCCCACTATGTTCATCCTGTGGCGAGTGCACTTGGTGTATAGAACGAGTATCGGCTTCTTCACCATTACAAGGAAGCCGGCTCGTCGTCCTCGTCGTCGTCATCGTCGTCTTCTTCACCCTTCTACCGTCGCTGCAGCACCGTAAAGAGAGAACCCACGTGGGCGATTGGGCACCTGTCGCTCCCTGTGCCCTTTCCTTCTTCTTCTCACTAGCCGGCCACTCGTGTCCATCCTTTTCTACCTTCTTCCCTACCATCTTCCCGCTTCCACGCCCTACCATATCCTTTTATCCGCCGCTCTCCTGCTCCTCGCCATTTCTTCCACCTAACAGCCTTCTGGACTCTCTTATTTCTTTCTTTCGTCGCGTTTCCTCAGGCCTGCACCTTGGCGATCTTCTGCCAACCAACCGAGGCCTGCCTCCCTGATTCCACACCGTTCCATCTCGCTTCAACCTCTTACTTCTCTTGCTCATTCTTCTTTCCGTCCAACCTCTTTCCTCCTTCCTCGTTCTTCGGTCTCGTCTTCGTCCACTTTGCTTCGTCGCTAGCCGCCACTCTGATCTCTTTCTCTCGCCCTTCCTCCTCTTCTCGTTCGCCGTTCGCTTTACCCGTCACCTGAAAAACCTCTCCTTTTATTCATTCGTTACGATCGAACGCTGCTACACCGAGAAATAAAGTTACGAAATCGATCGGGGGCCCAGTTTCGTATATTTCCCCATCTCCCCTTCTTTCCCCCTCCCCCATCCCTCTGTCATTATCTGGTTTTTCGCCAATTAAAGCTTTTTAAAGACCGTGTCGTGAGAAATGTTCGATTAATACTCATGCGTTGAAAGGTTCATAAGTTTCAAAAATTTTTACTTTCTCAAGTAATTTTCTCAGTTTTTCAATTGAACCGGTTTTTTCAATATTTAACGCGACTGTTTTTATCATTGATATTTTTTGTTCCAAAGTTGAAAAAATTGTACACTTATGCATGTGAAATGATATAGATATTTTATTATTAATTTTAATTCGTGAATAATAAATTTAAATTGATAAAATTTGAATTAATTATATTATAATTATATATAATTATATGATAATTAATAATAATTTAATTATTATTATTATATAATAAACTGTGTTCTATTTTCAAGAAGTGATTGTTTAATACTTTGATCTATCTCCGATTATTTGCTCTTGTAATTATTATTTGCTCTTGATCTGTAGTTGTTTCGGTAGTTGTTTGATCTTCAGTAGTTACTTCGGTAGTAGTTTGATCTTCGGTAGTCACTTGATCTTCAGTAGTCACTTGATCTTCGGTAGTCACTTGATCTTCGGTAGTCGGTTCTTCTTCAGGAGTTTCTAGTTCTTCAGGAGTTTCTATTTCTTCTACGATTATTGTAGGAATTTTAAATAATGGTTCATATCGTGTAGGTCTTGGACTTCTGACTACGTCGGTTAAATCAATTATTCTTCTTCCACTTTCTCGAATTCTAATTCAAAGATAAATTATATATCATATATTATATCTATTTATTTTAAAAAGATAATTAATTTTCAATCATCAAATTATTATATTAAAGATATTATATTATATGAATGAAATGACAATGTATTAAAAAAGTATATTAAATAGAAGAAACTAGTATTTTTAATATATATATACCTTATGTAGTAATAAGATCCTAAAATTATAATACCGACTAAAATTAAGAAAAGAATCACTACAAAGACAACAACATAATCTTCGTTTGGTAACCAACCAAAAAAGAAACGTGTTGCTTCATCTTCCATTAAGTATGTACGCCAATTTGGTGGTCCTAGAACTTATAATAACATACGTAGTATTAAATTAATTGAATAAAAGAATATTATATAAAATATAATAATTTTAAAAATAAAGATTGGTATAACAATAACATATATTATTACATTATATGCAATATTTTTACGTATAATTATATAGTATTAATATATAATATATGTAATGTATATAAATATATTTTAAAAAATTTTAAACTTAAATTTATTATTATATTTAATACTATCTACTAAAAAGGTAGTTCACTATATTATCATAAGCAGATAAATTTTACAAAAATTTTTTAATTCAACACGGTTTTAAATTTAAAAAATTTTAAATCATTTCTGTAAGAAATTGTGAATACGTGTAAATAACCATGCGAAATTCATTTAGAGAAAATCTTCAAATAATAACACCCTTAGAAGGTCTCGAATATAATGTTACTCACACTATTACCGGTTTTTCCGGTTCTTGCAAGTTTCTACCAAGACCCGTTTAATAAATTATGCATATATTAAAAATGTATATGATCTTATGTATAATAATTTTAGCCTAAATATATTTTTTATATAATGTTCTTTTATCTGCATAGGGTTAAATAAAGAGCTAAGAGAGTGCCATCTCGCTTGAAGAAGGAACTTTAACTTCTAATTTTTCTCAAGATGATATAGGAAATATGTCACGCAATAAAATAAAAATTAAAAATCTTTAATTTTAATATTATTATGACACTATTTTTTATAGAGTTATGATGTAATAATTAATTACCTTTAATATAAATCATATTTGTTATCCACTCAAAGTTCAAATCGTTTTGCTTCACGACGCATTGCCACATTCCATTATATGTTTTATTAATTTTTGTAAGTTGTTCGATATCGGCGGCAATGGGAAGTGTAATTCCATAATCTTTAAACGTTTTATTACGTATTAGCCAGATCACTTGAAGCTCTGAATAAATATGTCCTAAGATAGCACAATGACATTGTATGGTAGTGTCCAGAGTTTCCCTGACTTTTAAATTTTCTTTCTCTGGAATAACCGCTAAAGTTATAACTTTGATGATCGAATATTTTCCATCAACTCGACGCAGTGTCATTGCATAAACGCCAGAATCATTTAAAACAGCTTTTTTTATCTCTAAATAAATATATTATCTATCAATTATTGAATATTATATTTAAATAAATATATATATATATATTAATAATTTCTAAATATATGATAAATATATGAAAAATAAATATATAAACAAAATAAATATATAAACAAAAAATTTGAAATTTCTGTATCTTTTCAATGAATATAACTGAAAACATACGCTTAAATTATTTAAAAAATTGTAATAATATATCAATAAGTGAGAATAAATTAATTTTTACCAATGTTATTATCTTTCAATTCCAATCTATCGGGTTCTATTTCTATAAAGATACCATTTAATGACCATTGTAATTCAGAACGAGGAGATTCCGTAATGATAGATTTAACAATATCCTCGTCGGATTTAAGTGTAATTGCATTGTGTTCTTTTACTGTAAGAGATGTATAATTTTTTCGAATTCTTCGATTTATTAAAGTTATTGTATCTGTAATAAAATAAAATATAAATCATTATCTTTATAGATATAATATTAATTTTAAGTTATATATTTTTTTACACTTATTTTAATAAATATTTTATATTTATATTTAAAAAATAGATGAACAAAGTTTATTGCGACATCAATTATAATATCAATTGATTATAACTATTATAAAATATAGTTAGAGAATAATAGCACCATACTTTCAATAATAAAAGTATAATATAGAAGAAAAAAATTTAATATAGAAAAAAATATATAAATTGTATTTTTTTATAGAATGCTTTAAATTTTCTTTCTATCTTTTTCATGAGGTAAAGTTTTGTTTGTTTTTTAAACCATTACATTGTCACTGACAGGATTCATATTACATGTATATCATATTATATATTATAATCATTTTATGTTCTGCGAATTCATTATTTCAGATATACATTATAAAACCAAGAATATAACATTTAAATTTTTTATATTAAAGATGAAGACACAAGACATATTATAGTTTTGAAAGATAAATGATGAAATAGTGAAATAGAATAGTTTAATTAATATTCTGTATCTTATCTGATCATGCGGCAAGAGCAAGTATAGACAAAGAGAGCAAATAACAAGAAAAGGACAGAGATAAATTAAAAATTGTGATATCAGCGCCATCTTCAGAGTGCCGCAAATGAAACTCATAAACAAGAAGAGCAAATAATAGGAAAAGGATAGAAATAGGAAGAATTGACAATCAGCGCCATCTCTCTAATATTAACGACACTTTTTTAAGAATAGTTTCTAGGAATAATAAAGAGATGGCGCTAATTCTCAATTCCCATTCTACTTTATCCTATTTTGGTATTTGAGAGATGGCACTATTTATTAATTCCTACTCTACCTTATCCTACCTTTGCTATTTAAGAGATGGTATTAGCAGTCAATTCTTATCCTTCCATATCTACTACTACTTTTTCAAAGAAGTGTTGCTGATATATAAGAGATGGCGCTAATAGTTAATTCCTACTTTATCTCTGTCCTTCTCTTATTATTTGCTCTCTTTATTTATATGTGTTTCATTTGCGGCACTCTGAAGATGGCGCTGATTTCATAATTTTTAATATATCTCTATCCTTTTCTCATTATTTGATGTCTTTGTTTACACGTATAAAGAGGCGACTAATATTTAATCAATTAATTATCTTTTTACATAGTCTATTGATTAAAAATCGTCACAGAATTTATTCAATCATATTTTTATATATCATAAGTGTTTATATATATTTTTTATATATGTATTAGGCAAAATTTAATATAATAATATTAAAAAGTTAAATATTTTTTATATAATCTTATTAAATATCTTAAAAATTAAAAATGTAAAAAAAATATGTTCAAAATATTGATTTTTATAACATATTTAAAATGATTAAAAAAAAGAATCATGGAAATGTATAAAAATTATTTTAGAAACAAAGTTTTTGTAAAGATTATTTTGATTTAAATTTCCCGTATATGAAACAAAGGCTAGAAAATGCAAAAAACGAACTCTAATTTTGTAAACGTTGTATCGATTCATTAATCGTTAGCTTATCTATATAGCTATATAATTTATCTATATAATTTAACTAATTTTCAAGTAGATTTTTAAATAATTAGTATAATTTCTATTCAATAATTGTTAAGCATCATGCGATCATCTTTATTTTCGAATAAAATAAAAACGTATAAACAAACCTTCGGTTATATCACCACAAATTATTTCATTACAACGTCCAATCATTTTACTTGGCCCCACACATGGTTCACCCCTAAAATTAGGTTTTGGAGAATCACAACGCCGCTTTCGAACCCCTGTACCACCATTGCAACTTACGCTGCATGCCCATGGTCCCCATTCTGACCAACCTCCATCAATTGGTGGTCCATCTATATCTTTTTAACAAGTTTATCTTTATTAATTTATTTTCCTTTTATTTCTATATGTTTTTCAATAGTTTCAAATTTTTTTTATCTTATAAAACGCATAACGTTGAATATAATAAATAATTAATTTTAAATAAATAAATATCTCTTATAATACCTAATAAATAAAATTCTCAATAGATAATTATTTAATAATTAAAAAATACAATTATTCTTACCTATTGGCATACAATTGGCAGTCCAAGTAACCCAATGTGGCGGTTCAACTCCGACAGAAAAGAAATAAAATATGAGAGGATTTTTATGTTGATAATGAAACACATTTGTTGAATTAGAATAAATATCTATGATATGTTCAGACCATCTATGAATATTTTTTTATTAATGAATCACAAAACTATTAATTTATTAGATCATTCTATTAATTCTTTAATCGTTTACTTTATTGTAATATTGGTCCATGTATTTTTTGTAAATAAATTTACTTGTGCTCTTTGTTTATGATAAACTGTCACATTAGGAAACGTAGTTTTTGTAAACCATATCCAACGTTCTGGATTATTAATTTTAAGTACATAGTATCTATTAAAAATCAAATTATTTAATTAGTATTAAAAGATATTTTATCATATTGTGATAACAAGAAAGATAGATCATGAAAATTTAACATTTTTTGTTAAATTTGACAATATAAAAAAGTTAGATCTTTTTATGTAACTTACAAAAAGCCAATTTACCCTGGAATTGCAGGCATCTGATATAAAGGTATAAGAACTCCACCATCTCCACGCATTTGAAAAGTTATATGTTCAGGAATTATTACTTCTTTTTCTATCCATGTTGATAATGATAAAATTCTCGTGTATCGATCAGTTTTCGTGTTTTCTATATGACAATCTATTTTTCATAAATATTTTAATCGTGACACAATAGTGACGCAAATTGTATACGAGATGCAATAACACTAATTTAATAAATTCTAAGATAAATCTAGCTACAAAGTTAAAAATATATATATTAACAAGTTAAAATAAAAATTGAATGTAAAAGTTGTACTTCCTTGTAAAATATTCTTATTCTATAAAATTTTTATCTTTGAGAAAGATTTTTACTTGATAAAATAAAATAATAAAGATAGAAATAATGGTGATAATTAAAAATAATAATTGGGTGAGTCATATTTACTTAAATCACGATCGAAAGCGAAACCTACAGCATTCCCTACTTCGGTACCATAATAATAATACATAGGTAAAAAAGCAATAGAGGGATTAGGATTAATCCATTCAAATATAGGTGTAGGATCATCTTCGTAAAATAATAAAAATTTTCCTCGTGGTATTTGAATTATAAAGCTGCTCCATTTTCCTGTGTAAAGTAAATGGGGCAAAGTTTTCCTTTTGACTAAGGAAATATCTGTAATTAAATAGATTTTTCTTAGAATAAAATAATCATAATAGGAAGAAAAAAAAAATTAAAAAAGCATAGAAAAGGCGAATATTATTTACGGAATAACAATTTTTATAAACATTAATTTCGATTGAATTAATATTCGCCTCTTCAATTACGTGAATTTCTTCTTATCTGATTTCATGTTCAAAAGAATAAATTAACTTGAAAAAATATCAATTTTTTCGAATTATAATTCTTTTTATGTGTAATTAATTAGTATTTATATAAATTGTTATATTTAAAGATTGTTACATTTAAAGATTATTAATTATATATTATAAATTATTATAAATTGATTATAAATTATAATGAATTAATTTATTTTTTTCTTACTTATTTTTTTATTTCCATGTGTTTTTAAGAAACAGTTAAGAAGAAATTCATTTATTAGAAAAAAAAATATGACATTATAAATCCGAATATAAGAAATCCTAATTTATATATATGTTAATTACGTGATGTTTCTGATTGATAATAAAGCAGCACTTTTTCATTATCCAATGTTCCTATTTTCAGAATAAAACGCGATTTAAGTCCATCTTCGGCTAAAAAGATAATGGAGACGGTATCTCGATCATCGGGTTCCCAAACTTTCAAAGAAAAATGTAAACCTTCGGAACGATATTCGGGTAAAATAAATAAACGTCTACCCAAGCTATCCTCTCTGACAAGAACTATAAACTCTTCTGTAAATAATAATTATTATCATTAATTCTATTCACTATTTTGAAAATCCTAAATAGATAAACAAAATCTATACAGCAAGAAAACAAAAATCTGAGTAAACAGATAAAATTAACCGATTAAAATAAACTTTTCTCTAATTCTTTTTCCATCAATATTTTACCTGGTTTATCACAGTCTCTAACATTGCAAAGATCTCGTGGTAGGAAAGGATCAAAAGTGTAACACCAAGTACCACCTATATTGCGTGATGGATTTCTGCAATAATTGCTAGCGTTCAATGCACTTCCATCCGGATAACGGCTGTCATTGAAGATCTCTTGGCCGGCAATTCCAATGAGTTTAGGAGTAAAGGGAAGTCCTGGACGTTTTGGCGGCTGTGGAGAGCGTTGTAGTAAGTGATAGTACGACCTTAATTCTTGAGGACTCTCGATGGCAGATCTGATAGTACGGGCCCTACTCTCTTTGGGCATCGGTGGGGGGATTGGCCAGGAGACACAAGTACGTCCTGAACGTGTTTTTATAAGTTTTCCCATGTAATCGTTCGCGGTTCCTGCCATTCGACATTCTAAAAATTAGGAAGCATACAATTTTCCACCCTCTTTTTTTTATAATTTATAATTTTATTGTTTTATCACGCATTTTGCTAATATTTCATTTTTCTGGAAATTTTCACAATCATGTCAAAAAAATGATAAATTTTTATACGTTTGTAATGTAATAAAATATTGTTTAATTACCTATCGATCTACATTTTCGTATTTTACAATGTCGTTTCGTGATGGTTTCGCTTTCCCAAGGGGTGTACGCGTAACAATAGGGACCTTTGGGATCATGAGTGGGATTTCTACATTTATTAAGAGCCTTCAGAACGGACCCATCGATGAATTTTTTATCATCCTTAATTTCTGATGGAACCTTATTAAAAATAAAGCATGTCAGAGCAACATTCAAAGCAACTTTCCTATATTTCTTACGTCTTTTGATATCCATGGAATACATGGAATTTCGTTAATGCTTGTCCACTGTGTACCTTTGTAATCGTAATCTTTTAAATCAGAAAGACAATTTGGTGGCCAAGGATCTTCTACAGCATCCAATTCTATTTAAATATAATTATAATCTTTTTTATATATTGAATATTCTTATATATATATATTATTATTATTACTATTAATTTATATTTTAAAATAATCATAAAATTTAAGCAAGAAAATATTACTATCCGGGGAACAAAATAGTGTCCATTGTGCAATAGTATTTTCGCTTCCAATACTGAACCATCTCAAATGGGCAAAAAAATTTTCGTTCATGTACATTAATTCGATAGCACCTCTATGTTTATGCGAATATAAGTGAAAGTGCGTTCCAAAAATACTATAGGAAAAAAGCCTCATTATAAGAATTGTAATATAACAAATAAAATGAAATTTAATATATACAAAATTTGACAAAACCTGATGGTAAACTCTCTCCATGACCAAAAATTGAGTATATCTGAAGTTGTGATCTCTTTTAAATAAAGTTTCGAAGTTTCCTCTGATGCTTGATATACAAGTGTTGAGACTTCTTTGCCTAACGTTATCTATATGTAATATTTAATATAAAAATAAATTTATTCCACTTATTTAGTTTTATACAGTATGCAAAAAAAGATTACACGATATTGACAACCCTATACATAAATATAATTTGTATTCTATTGTAAAAATTATTATTAATATATTTTTTTATTCATTTGATAAAATTATTCAATTGAAAATTTAAATAAGAAGATAAAGTATAAATATTAAAAGATATTTACGTGTACATAAGGATATTCTAATACAGGTGTTTCATATAAACGTATTTGAATATTTTCGCTTGCACGAGCAAAAAATCGAACGTCAATTGTATCGTTATGTTTCTGCATAGCCCAAACTTTTGAAAAATCAATTCCAAAAGTTATGTATAAATCGCAATCTGAAATTTATATGTGCTCGTATTAAATTTCGTTAAAAAATATATATCGAAATTAATTTATTATATATAATGTTAAATTGTTCTTTTTAATTATATTTTTAATATTTCTTTTTATATTTCTTATTAATTTGATAATATTTAAATAGTTTTCTTTATTTTATGTTTCATATATTTTGAAAAAAATAAATAAATTTCATGAAAAGAAATCGTTTTTTTAATATCTCTCAAACTCTAAAAAGATTTTAAATTTAAATTGAACAATTTAAAAAATATTGAAAACATACGTTTTTGACAAAATGGTGTATTCCATAAAACATTCGTTCCTCGAACACCATAATATAGAAATGTATCTAAATATAAACTCGTAATTCCATGTTTTTTTTTATATTCTTGCATGATTATGGGTTTCGATTTTCCTTCGATACCAGCGGAAATAAAACCACCTCCCCAAGTTACCCATATTCCCGTCCATCTTGTTCCAATTAATATTTCCGGGCTACTTTCGAAAATTTCTTCTTCCTAATATAAACACATCCTAATAAAACACCGCTAATAATACATTTAATTATTATTTTATTAAGTTTGAAAAATTATTTTCATTTTTATCTGGAGAAATATTGAAAATCTGATCAATTAATATAAAATATTAATTACACATTCGTGTACTTAAACGATCAAAGAATCGATGAATAATAATCAAAAATATTAAAAAATTACTACTAACATCATATTTTGGAAATGTTTGACGACTTCCAGAATTTGAAAACATCATTTCTACTCCTGCAGTCCATTCTTCAGCTATGATTTCTGAAGAAATTGGTACTGGTAAAAGAGTAAAAATTAGTGCAGCTTCTGCCTGTAAATATTATTTTATCCAGTTAAATCTTAACAATCTTAAGAATTTAAGTAAAAATATCTGAAAATAATTTTATAATAGTTTTTATCTTATAGAAAGTAGGTAAAATTTTGATATTTCTTTATATTTATCTCATCTTTTAATTTTGCTTTATTTTCTTTCTTTAAAAAGAAGTCCAAGATGGCTATGCTCACAATAGTACTTATATTGATGATACGTTTGATTTTTTAAGAAAATTCATGACTGTAAATTCATGACATTCATGTCATAAACTAGAAAATTCCTATAGTGCGTTCGTTCATGTTATACTGAACGTGTCAAACAAAATTTTAACAGAGTACATACTATTTTCTCATCATCAGGATTCCATAATTTAATCCAGAATGTAATATTACCGCTAGGTGCGTGTAATTTTGCCAATATATTATATGCAGATGAATTCTTCGTAAATGCCAAACAATCTAATATACAATGAATTTTTATTAATAAATATATTTTTTTTATTTTTATCAAAAAATTCTTATTCAAATTGATTCTTGAACATAATAATAATAAAATAAATGTAAAATCAAACCTTTATCATCGCAAAATGAAATATCACAATATTCTTTTATAACGTATTCAAAGTTTTCTTCATCAACGTAACACCATGGTCCCCCGACGTCTCCTGTAGGATTTCTACAAAAATTTTCAGCGTTTTTAATTGATTTGTCAGGAAACTGGTTTTCTTTGAATTTTACAACCTACAATGTAAAATTAAATTGTTAAAAATCTTTTATATGTATATGTTGTATATATTTATATATATATGTTGTTATTATTAGAATTAACATTTTATTATTTAATTTTTAAAATATTTCATGAGAAAAAAATTTTTGTTTTTGTCAAATTCCAAATTTCAAAACAGATTAAGTAAATTAATAATTCTCTTACTTCTCCAGTTTTAAGTTGAAGTCGTTTATGCCATGTTTTACATTTACTTCTTGTTCTAGTGATTTCTTTGGTTCCTCCATAATCAGCTCCTGGTCCTGATTGTCTACATTCTGTTCGTTTATAAATAAATACACATATAAGAAAAATCCTCTATTATTTATAAAATGAAACATTTAAAAGAAATGCGATTTAAAACTAAAATTTCTCTCTTTCTATAATATTAAAAATAATATTGTTTCGAAAATTAGCAAAGTTACTAGTCTGGTTTATTTCATTTTTTAAAAATTTTACTCTCCGTGACGAAATTATAAACACCTTATAATTTTTTCTCTAAATTGTTTCTCTAAATTGATACAACCTGCTCATATTTATATATAGAAAAAAATTTATATTTTTTTAAAATTTAACATTTTTATGTGAAAAATGCATGCTACAAAACATATCGTAACAAATTTTTGATATTTGAGAATAGAATACATCTTACGTATTTTCATATACCAAATCTGAATGTAGTCAAAAAAATTATCTAAATTTAAAAGATAAACTAAGTTTGTACGTACATTGTACGTTTTAGTCTCGAGGAATACTGAAAATCATCAGACTGTCTTATAGTTTCGTCCTGAAGTATAGATTTTCAACCATCATGTTGTAATAATAAAATCTTTCTATTGACAACGATCTTTCCGTTTTTAGCTATGTTCTAGCCTTCAAGAGTTACCTGCTCTTTATACCTTGCGGATGCATCGAAATTGTACAAAGATAAACGAAATTTAAACTTATGTTTTGACTGTTAGAATATTGAGAATCAAGGTTGTTGTTTATTATTATTATATTTATTATCGAAAATAAGAATTAACCGACGCGAATTCAAATTTATTCGAGAATAATATCCGCGCATGTCTGATACTATCGATAAATAACTATAAAATGAGAGCCACATTTATATCGCGGCGAAGAAATCGTCCATATCGTCTATAAAACACGAAATTTGTCTTAAATAATGTATATTGTATTAAATTTCTTTTTTTCTAAAATTTGTTAATATTCGGTTAAATTGTTTCCAGTTGTCTACATTACAGTTATACAAGATTGACGTATATCATCATAATAATACATCATTTATACAAGGTAATATTTTAAATTTTATACTTCTTTTTTTTTTTCTCTCGATGGAATTACTAATATTCGGAATAATAGATATGATTGTTTGGTTAAAAAAATTTTTAAATGGTAAAATGCTCGTCGTTTTTTGAAATTTTTTGATCATTTATTATAAAAAATAATATTATTACCTTATACTTCGATTTAAAACTAGTCTTTCGTTTTCATAAACTCTCAAGATAAAATGGGCAATGAAAATTTTCAAGCGTTAACAGGACAAAAGAGAATTTATGACTTAGGTACATTACCTCCAAAATTACAAAGAGGCACATCGCATTCGTCATCTATAAGCGTAGGTTCTAAGGTATAACACCATGGACCTCTATTATCTCCCGTTGGATTTCTACAGTAATTTTTTGCCGTTTTCATTGATTTTTCGGGAAAATCATTATCAGTTATATCTTTGCTAACCTGATATTAGATATTAACAAAAATATATATATATATATAAAATCTAATAAAAGTGAAGAGTTCAAAAGGAAGATTAATGTAAGATAATTATTTTTAATTTATAAAAATTTGAACGAAGTTAGGAAATTAAAAAATAGATCAAATCACCTCGTGTACCGGATCTTGTATAAACCAAGATTGACACCGAATATCACCAGCAGTTTTAGCTATTGAACCTCTATATTCCATTCCCTTTTGTGTTAATTTACATTTCATCAAATCAGTTAGGGTCGCATTACGTGCTATAAGGGAAAATTAAATATATCAATTCATCGATATTGTTTAATATATTCACAATATTTAATAGTTATAAAAAAATTCATATAAGTACAATTTAGCGATTACAGTTATAACAAGCAATTTATTAATAATTTTTTTCAGTCTTTTTGAAAATCTTTAAATAAAGATATTACTTGTATAAAGAAATAATAATAAGGAAAGATATATTTGCAATCATTAAAAGTATCATATTTGTACTTACTTTTTTGATTTTTAGTTAAAACTATGAAATAAAATACAAATAGAAGGTTATACATTGAAGATAAAACAATATAAGAATTTATTTTATTAGATATATTTTATCGATTGACTTTTTTTCACGTATTGACTTTCTTAACTTTTAATTCTTAACTTTTTATTATTATTTTTAATTTATTACTATTTATTTAAATATAATTTATTAAATTAATTTATTTTAATTTAATTTATTTTTTTAATTCTTAACCTTTTTATTATGACATATTTTTATATATTTTTTATATTTCTGAAATTTTTAAATTGACATTTCTTATTTTTAATTTTTACGGTTATTGTAATAGTATACAAACAATTGAAGATTGTGTTTACATATATAATTTACATGTAATTACAAAAGAAATTTTAAAACACACATGTGAATATTACTGATTTCTAAAATTCAATTAAAAAGAAATGTAATTTAAAGAAAACACACAGTAATTTAATAAAATTTAAACAGATATTTTTTACAAAGATTAGATTTAGAAACATTCTTTAAAATTATATCTTACATTACGTCCTAATATCCTGTATTTCGTAAATAATCTTGAATAAAGAAAAATTATTAGAATAATATTTAGGAAAGATTTAAAAAAATATTGTTTAAAAATATTAATGTGTAATTGAATAATTGAATTGGTGAGAAAATAATTTTAACAAGTCGCATTAAAATTCAAAAATTTAATAATATTTTTGGTTGTAAAATAATATGATTACAATCACGTATTAACACGTCCATGAAATCTAATCTATTTGAAATTTATGTTTACCAATACTTTACAAAACTTCGAAAAAAATATTTCACTTAATATTTAAATCACATGTTTCACACGTGCGTCTTTGCATTCCATTGATATTTATCAGAGTTTTCAAACAATACTTTGTACCATATTATAAATATTTTTGCTACATCACTCAGATAGCAAACTGTTTCTCTTACTAAAAACAAAACCATTTTTATTAATATGAAATAAAATATTAGCATTATAGATATGACATATAAGAAAAATTAAAAATATTTATATACATATTACGCAAACGTATACATTTTTGAAATAGCTAAAGTCGCATATTATATTTTTATCATAAAAAGATTAATTGTTAAAAGAATAATTTTTAACAAATCTTCCTATCTCAATCAAATCATTTCTTTCTTAGCATAGTTTTCCATGTATTACAATGCATCATAATTTATAAATTAAAATATATCAAATTTCTTGGATATTTAATGTATTAGAAACAATTAAATATAATTTATAAATATGTTTTGAGATTAAATCAAATTTCTCATTTAGATAACATTTATATTTTGTTCAATGTCAAGTTTGTATAAATATAAAGACAATAGTCTATGTATTGAAGAAAAATTGTAATTATAATAGAATTAATATATTTTAGTTTGTAAGCCATAAAAGCTATGCTAAAAAGAAAATAAAAATTTATATATAATATTTAATAATTATGTATAACATATAGTTAATGAAAATGAATAATCAAAATTAAAAAAACAAGATAAATTTATCATGAACGATTAAGATTTCTTCGAAAATTAATAATAATTATAAAATTAATAAAATTAGTAATAAGACATATATGCATATAAGAAATTTTTTATAAATTAGAAATCTTTATTAGCATTGTTTCTTTTTAATAATTATTTATTATTTTTTTATTATATATTTTATTATATAATAAAAAGTAAAAATAAATTATTTAGAAACATTTTTTATTTGCTTAGAAACATTTCTTAGAAAAATTTCTTACATAATACATATATATATTGTTATTTATTTAAAAAAAAAATTAGATCAATTTGATTCATAATAAATTTATCTTGTTTGATTATTCATTTTTTAAATATGTTCATATAATAATATTTCTCAGATGCATTTGCTTTGCAAATACGTTAACTTCATCTTATCGCATAAGAGCTGACAACATTTACATTGAAAGTTACGACAAAAAGTCAAAAACATTAAAAAATAGCAAGAATCAATTCATTTTTATGACAGCATTTCTTATTTTCTGGATATAACATAGTATTCTAAATTATCTTATATATGAGTTTTGTTGTACTTTTAACTTTTGATTTAATACATGTATCTGCAATATGTTATATATGTATATAATATATTATATTTTCTGTTTATCGAATATAATTTTATATATAGAAATAATAAACAATATAAATACATACAATATTGAATTCATTATAGCATCAATTAATTGCAATATAAAAAACTATAACAAAACCTTTGCATCAATCCAATATCTTATACAAAAATAAATAAATTTATATGAGCTTCTGAAATGCAAACATTTGATGTCTGCTCTGTTTTATATAAGCTATTAAATACCTGCTCTGCTCTTATACAATAAGCTAAATCCTTTTGAGAAATATTTAATCAAAAATACATATATGATTTACTACTGTTTGATTCATATTTTATAATATGATAATTGAGTGGGAGATACATATTCAAAACTTAACTTAATCTTTATCTATACACATAGCTTTGCGATAAAAATGTGTCATACAAGCATATTTTATTAATAAAATCGTTTTATGACACGATTAACATTATTGCCACATATCATAATGCTATACATTGCAATATGAAGAAATTACTTTCTGTAAAAACTTTTTCGATAAATCACTTCTCAAATGTAGAAACTTCTTCAATAAGTTTTAAAACTGATTTATTATTTGTTGTTATTATGTTTAGCATAATAATAGCCAAAATAGTTTTCTTTTAAGAAATTTACTACCTTTTTTTTAAATTTTTAATTATTTTTTTGAAGATGTTTCTACCTACTTCTTAAAATAATTTATATTGTGATTGATTGATTGATTGATTATCAAAGTATAACGTATTATATTAAACTAATAAATATATTTTTTTAATATATCACTTTATTAAAAGAAAGAAAATAAATATGTCAAACAATAAAAAGTTTTGCATATTACATAAATATTAAGCCAATAAAATTATTACTGAATATATAAAATTTTTCAATTATATTGTGAACATAATATTAAAATAGGCATTCAAATACAAATCATTCAACTCAGTCGGTGTAAAAATAAACGAGGAACAAAATCTGTTATTGTGTTAAATCAGTCTTAGCTCAGTCTTATATTGTACAAATGTAACTAATATCTTATTTCAGTTCTATTAATATTAAACTAAAATCGAATGCGACAGTAATTTTTTTCTTGAAAACACATATTAGATTTTTACATTATTGTGTAAAACTCATATTTTATGTCCTATAAATGTTAGATGAAGTTTTGTATTGTTTTTTTTATAAATGTTGATATTAATGAAATTTTTGTATTAACAAATATGATAAGTTTATTATTACAGTGACAATAATAACAATATTCATACTAATCATAATTGTTAATACAAAAAATGAAATGATAAGAATAATATTGAAGTTAATAATATTGATAATTACCATGGACGTAATAATAATGGCAATAAGTTTTGTTCAATTACGCATGCTTGTACCAGAAATATAGTAATGTAAAATTGAAAGAATGTTTTCGAAGTATGATATGTTAAAAATATGATTACAATGATTTTGAATTTGTTTGATAATGTATTGTATCGTTAAAATACGATCTCACTCACTTTTTACGTAATACTTTCCATCTTTTTCTTTTTGTGTTATTTTGTATTAATTGTTATCTCTTTTTTGGTTTGTAGCATTTATCCGGATAACTTACAATTTATTCGTGTCATTCGCATTTCTTTTTGATTACATACACTCATAAAAACAAACTCTTTAACCGCAACGATCATGCACACGTAGGTACTTCTTAATTCAAAATTGCATTTTAGTCTCCATACGTATTAAATAACAGGAGACAATATTGTTAATTTATATAAATAGTTAAACATTTTTACGACTCTGGTCACAATAGTATTGTATACTGTTACTTTGTAATAAAATGTCGTTTAATCACACAACGATCAAGATATTTTTTTTCATATATTTTATATATATATATATATATATAAGAAAAAAATTATAATCGAAATGTAAAAAAAATAAAACTGTAAAAATAATATATAAAAAAAAAAGATTCATATAAAATAATAAAATAAAAATTGTTCCAAAATATTAAAAAAATTTTTTTCAAATAAAGTATAATATAAAAAGAAACAAAAATTACCTCTTTAAAAGAGTAATTATCTTCTTTGTTACATCAAACATCTTACGAAGAATTATTCTGATAAGATGTTTAATATAACATAGATAATAGTCATATTTTTTTAAAAAATAGTAACTATTTTTCTTTATATATAATATAATTTTCTCTCACTTTTATTGCATTATTCTCGAATTTTCGATCCTAGTGAGTATTTCGATCGAATACTGAAGTAGATAAATTTATTTGTTAATTTTTAATATCGTTTTGCATTTTTACTTGCAATCGTTGTTCAGAAAAATAATTTAGAAAATATCGTTCATCGTTTTACTAATAAAAATAACATATGATAGATTATAATTTATGGATCATTGGAAAATTACATTCTTTAATCTTTCTCAATAATCCTCTCAATCTTAAAAAATAGTGATAAATACGGTCCGAATACTAATAAACAAATATCCTTAAAAATCCTTTCTCGTTTTCCTTCATCACTCATCACTTTTTTGTTTTCTCTTCTTATCATTCAAATCACGAATTATAGACAACGAATAATTGCGTACAAATAATATGAAAATAATATTTCTCTGCTAATTTGAAACATTCATAAGGATATGATTTCAAAACGAAAAAGGACATCTTTCTTTTTTTTTTTTTTTCCTCTTTGTACTTGATTTCTTGGCACTCAAGAGAAAACCCGAAGTTTCGAAAGGAACTTATACGGATTTCCATATTTATATACATATTAGTAGGAAAATATTGCATCTAACACTTGTTATTCGAGGGTTTTAAGCGTCATACGCTTATACATCTAAAATCGAGAAAAACATTAACGTCGCTTCTTGCAATTACTGTCATATAGGATAAATTTTTTTTTCTTTTTTTTTTTCCTTTTTTTTTTTTTTACATTTTTTAACGTTTGTATAAAATCTTTTTCCCAATCATTCCGTCTCACTCATTCAACCACAACCAATGAACGGATCATTTTAAATAAGAAGAACTCGATTGTTGCCGAAATCAACGATAACGATCCTACCATCTGGGCATAAAGCTATTCCGGATGGTCTGTCCATTTCATTGTCATCTTTGCCATAATTACCGAATCGCCATTGTAACGTTCCAGTCGAATCAAATACTTGTATACGATGGTTTCTAGAATCGGCTACAATTATATTGCCTTCGTCATCAATCACCAGACCTTGCGGTCTTAGGAACTGTTTCGGAGCACCTGGACTTTCACATTCTAATACCCGAGCATGCACGAAGTCAGAATCAATTATCACTAGTCTATGATTATTAAAATCCGTGGTGACAACGTTGCCATCAGGATTGAACGCCACTCCGCGTGGCGAGTCGAAATGTTTCCACATGTTCGGGGCGGATTCGTAGCCATATTTACGAAGAAAAACACCTTCGGGACTGAATAATTGGACGCGATGGTTTCTTGTATCAGATACGACTATCTGGCATTCGGAGTTCGCTGCCACATCCCAAGGATAATTGAATTGGCCGGCGCGACAGCCTTTTTCGCCGAAACATAAAAGAAATAGGCCTTCCATCGTCAACACCTGGAAAGTAACGAGGAAATGGTATAAATTTCGAAGATAACAAGAAAGGTAAATTTTGAAGGTAATAAAAATTTGATATAATGAATAAATAATAAAATGATTTTAAATTAATTTTTTTAAAAAAAGAAAAGATTAAGAAGCAGATGTTGTCTAGATGGAAGGC